AACTACGATATGGCTGTTCAAACACTGGACCAGTGCGATCGGACGAAACCCAGATTTCACGCATTTTTGAAGGTAATTGTTAATAACAGTGATTTTGCTTGCCCTACGGGCTTTTCAGGCAAATACTTTCAAAAGTCTTTAAAATGAATAAAAAAAATTCATGAAAGGCCACCATCCCTTTGAAGACATACTAAAGTAGATGAAGGCGAAAAGTAAATAGAGATTCAGGGGGACGGAAGTGGGTAGGGATATGTATTTTTTTTTAAAAAATCTGATTTTTATTGTTTGGTAAAAAAGACATTTTTTTTTTAAAATTCCTTTCGTCGAGTCTTGGAGCAGCATCGAAAAACTTTGCAAACTTGAATTCAAAAGAGGCCAAAAAAGGCTTCTCCATATTTATTTTGACGAAAAACTCATTCACTGTCTGAATTATGGCGAGAGGTAGCAAATGGCAACAGCAACCACACGTTGACAAGGCCTTCAACGAACTGCCTCTGTGGAAAATTGCTTAGAGCAAGCTATTTGGTTTGAATCCCCGGCATGTGCCTATACCAATTTGTAGTCGAAATGAATAAACGAATCGTGGAGTTTCTTTTTTTACTGGCATAGGCCGAACATTCGACCCTCAGGACGAGCACTTGTTTTTTTTTCGTTCTGCCATGCCTGTCAAATCCAAAAAGTCATTGTTTCCACATATTGCTTAGAAGTTTTTCAGTGCAGAAAAAAAAGTTGAAAAATTGAAATTCCGAAAAGCCAACTGTTTTTTTTCTTGAAGTTTTCAAACAATAATTATTTGAGTTTTTTTAGGCCGCAGAAAGTCGCACTGAATGTCAACGGAATCATTTAAGAGATTTACTGGTACGACCCGTACAGCGATTGCCATCCGTTATCTTGCTTTTGAAAGGTAAAATTATTGCGTTTTCCTCTCTAGAAACCATTTTAATGAATTCCAGTAACATTTATATGTCTTTATCAGATCTGTGGCTTTTTGACTTCTATGAAATTTCCATTCGACGTTTTTTATTTTTTTTTTTGTTCGGAGTATTTTTGTTTTTAAAGAATTTGTTCGAGTTTTATTTATTTTTAGTCCCATTTTTTGAAGTGTTTTTTAAAAAACTGGCTTTTTTAATGAAATGAACATGTTATCATTTACTTCAAAGTATGGTTTATTTTTAGCCCTTCAAAAGAAAACGGATCGTAGCAATCCGGATAACAGCTATTTGGTTAAAGCGATGAGAGCTTTGGAAACAGCACTTGCGTAAGTTAAACTTATCGTAGAGTTAAAGTTAAAACTTTTTCCTTCGATTTTTCACTCCTTGTCAAAAATGCTATTGTTTTTAGCTGTTGTGAATTATAAACTTGCCACTCTGCAGTTAGCAGGCTTTTCTTGACATCCAATAAGTGGCATTAAAAAGACCGCTTAAAATACAAGCTGAAAACGATTTGCCGCCATGACATACCATTACGATTTTTTTTCTCGAAATAGTTCGGCAAATCGTGAATAGGCCGAATTTTTTTCCTGCCGAAAGGCTATGATGAGCTGAGTTTGAGAACAGACATCACTTTTGGCATTTCCAAAATCAAAATACTTTCCATATTCGCTAAAACGCTTGGATTCCTAGCCCAAGTAGCAGTATGTAGCAAGACCGTTGATGGTTTTTCAAGAGTTTCCCATAAACTAGCTGCTGGCAGATGCAATTGTGTTCAAGCAGAACCCAAGATGTGAACTACTTGATGTTATTTTTTGCAGCATAGCAAACGAGTCTCGCAGACAGACTGATTCATATGCAAAAATTTTCAAATTGTCCAGCGAAATTGAGCGATGCCCAGTAAGTTTTTTAAACGTAGTACTTCAGCTCGGAATGAACTTTTAAAGGAGCTGATTCTAGAACATAGGGGCCAGGCCAAGCTGATTCTAGAACATTAGGGCCAGTGGTTTGGTGAGTAGCACGTCACATTGAGATGTAAAAAAGAATGTTTCTCCAGGAAGTTTTTCAGTGTACAATCTGTATCTCGGGAAACTCGCAAAAAGTCGACAAGGAAGATGTCACCACAAAGAAAAAGACGTATACTGTCTTTGTTAAGTAGCCAAAAAAAAAGAGTATGTATTCTGCCTGGAAAGAAAGATACACAGTAGATGTGTTGCCAGGTTGATTCTGAAGCAAAAGACTGGTGGTGTAGTGGGTAGCATGTCACGTTGGGACGTAAAGAGGAATGGTTCGATTCCCTGCCAGTCCATAACCATTTTCAAAAAAGGGCTCCTTTCAGTCTGAGCCAAGCAAGTTGCGGTCTGGTAGAAGTGCTTCTACCTGAAAGGTTTTGCTCTGAAAATATGAGTGATAAATTATAAGGCGCATTTTAGGCAGATATTCTGTCTAGTGCACGGACACTGAAAGCAGAATTGCATGTATTATCGTTGGGCGGTGAGGACGAATGGATTAAAACGCGGGACAGACGAATGGCTATTTTTCTTTTCAACGATTTAATGGAAATTGTTAAGGTATCATAACTCCCTACTCAAAAGTAACAATTTTTTAATTTTTAGATTGTATTAACATTTTTTGATTAGATTTATCAAATTTGAACTCAAAATTGTCAAAGTGAAATGATTCAAAATTGTGGTTGTATTTCCCCCCTTAACGATTTAATTAAAAAAGGTCAAATCCTAAGCCGTTTTTGGTTCAGGATTCAGTATTCTCGTTGCTCATGCTGTGATAAACTCGGCCGACGCTACCAGTAGTCCTTCTAGAGCTTTTCTTACAGAAGCACTGTATACAGTAATATAACTTATATATCGTTTTCGTTTGAACAAAATTCGTGGTATTTTTTGACGTCCTGTTTGAACAAATGTATCATACGTATAATGGCCTTACGATGTGTGATATGTTTAGGTTCGAACGGGTAACGATGATTGCAGTACTCCAACACGCCGTATTTCAGCCAGTGCTCTCACCCGCCAGCTGTCATTCTCAGTATTACGCCACGATAAAAAGAAGTACAAACATCACCAGCAATACATGCTTGCCTCAATTCGAAAAATACAAAGGCTTGCTTGCCGTGGTGAGAAATTCAATTTCCATTTAGCTTAGATGCCGAGGAGGAGGCTTAAACAGTATTTTCTCAGCATATTTTTTGTATTGTTGTTGTTGATATATTTGTTGTTAGGATAAGTAGCCTTTATATACAGAATGAAGATGAAACACACACGATAATCATTGTGTACGTTT